ACTTTTTCTTGATTTGCCCCAGACACTAATAAAGGCACAGCAGCCTGGGGGCAGACACTGACATGTTCATGAGGAGCTTGCCTCACTGCCTGCTCATGTCGGGCTCAAAAGGTGACTGAAATACCTCCCAGGCACGTCTGCTCCAGAAAATACCCTCTGCAGTTTTCAGCTGACCTTTATAAGCAGTTCAAGGGACTTGGACACCTAATTTCCAAGTGTCTTCAGCAGATTTAGAAGACTCAGTGCCTCTTGTCCTGTACAGAGGCTCTGATTCTATTTTCCAAGTGACCTATTTAACAAGGATTCAGAATTCTGAAGATGCAGGAAACACTTGCTATTCCCCATTTTKACTCAGACATTTATGCACACGCTGCTAAATGAACTTTAATACAGCAGTTAAAAAATGAAAGATCTTATAGCAAAAGTAGTAGGCAGCATATAAAAAAAACATATAAAAAAAATCTGAAAAAGGGGGGGGCAAAAATAAAACAAAGAAAACAAGGGGGAAAAAAAACAGAGTCACACACCAAGAGAAAAATAGAAGTGGCAGCATGAAGAGCATTTGAATAGGAAAGGGTCTAGGGAGAGRAGATTCAGTCCCAATATCCCCAGGCAATAAAGGAAGGGATTTGCAAGAACCTTTAGTTCAACTAACACCCATATTGTCAGAGTTTATAAACTTAAAGGAAAGATTTAGTGGTAGATCTCCCATTTAGGGACCAAACACTACTTGTAGTGAACACTTCCAAGTTCCCTATGTACTCTCTTGCTGCACCATTCCCACTGAATTCCARTATTCCCATACTGCATGCAGTCATGAGATTTCACCCACAAAAAAGTTATAAAAACTATTCTATAGAAAATATTAAGAAAGAACATATAAATRCATACACAGGTACAGTGATTAAAGAAGTCCAAACACTATRCCAGTGCAATAAATGAATTGTCAATATACCTATCTAATATCTTTTTCTTTACATATTGAAGTACATGAGTATTAAAGCATATGAATATGTACTGGGAAACATAATTTCTGAAGGGAGGGATARTAACAATATAGTTCAAAAACATTTTTACAAAATATTTTAAGATCTGCTAATGGTCTGGTAAATGATACTAATGCATATGGRGCAAATTCTAACCAGCCTGCACAAAAGGAGATTGCTGATTTTGTCARAAGTACTTTTTTCAGGTGAATTCAGTTTCAGGTGAATTCAATTTCACACAGTCCTTTGTTCTGAAGGAATCTTTGCCATTCCATTTACTGAACTAATACATTTTGGAAATAAATGACTTATAAATAACAGAACAAAGACAAGCAAGCAAACAAAAACCAGATCATCAGTAAGTACCATTCTCCATTACATAAAAGAAGCACAAGCTTCCAGCAGCAATTTTTTTTTTTAGGTCTCAGACATTTCTAGTGCACATACGTGTATATTGGTATATTTAGGCAAACGGATGATGATAATTAGTTTCCAAAAAATTATATTCCAGCTAAGCAGATTTGACATTCACACACAGCACAAAACTGAAAATGCATACGTGGGACTTTTCTCAAAGTTTGAGTTAAGCAGAAAACCAGCCTTTAGCAGTRTACTATCTACACGTGCCCTAGTTCACGCTTGTATAACATCTCTCTGCCCAGCTTTCCAACGCTGGCATTAGCTGCTGGAGTGCCTGACACCTGACCAGAAGCAAAAAGCAACTTGACCATGCGATGGTAAGAGAAGCTGAAACAATTAATTAATTTTCCATCTTAGCAATCACTATATTTAGAGAATTATCCTTTAGCTGTTTTTCGTTTGGATATATGCTCTCAAAAGAGACCTAGATTTCCTATAGTTGTTACTAGTCGCTTCGTGTGTAACTTGGACAAGAATGGAGATTTGTGCAAAATCTCAAGTGTAGCATATACATGATGCTCTTACACTAATAAATATATACATACATATACATATATATGAAAAAAATATATACATATATCCTGGCCACATTCCATTGGACGTGCATGTAACTTCCCTTGAGTTACTTCAAGACTACACACACATCCAAGGACAGAGTTTTAGGTTTAACCACAGACCCTCACAATACACAGACCCTCACAATCATGTTCTGTAGTCTACACAGGCAGAAGCCTTAACACGTTTTGACATCCAGCAAAACCAAAAGCCGCAAGCCTCACAGCTTTCTTCCCCATCAGTTGCTGTGACACTATAGCTGAAAACAAGTTAAATAAAACCTAGATACTTTAYCTTTTWATTTTTTTAATGGAAACGGAGGAACACCAGAGTCCACAGCATCAAGGAATTCACTCAGCTCTATCAATTCAACACCTAGGGAAAGGACAGCTCTGTTCAGAAAAAGGTAGCAGAACTTGTTGTTGCAACTGCTTACATAATATAGAGTTTGCTATAAATCCTCACAAAAATAAGTAAGAACCTCAATAATAATCTGAGAACCTCAATAGTAATCTGAGACGTCTCACTGAGGATTTGATGCAAATTGTCAATGCAGTTTTCTAATTCAAGCATTTTGGAATGAAAAATTAGATATAGAGTGAGAGCTGTCTGTGATATATAAACTAACATCACCACAGGCTATGCAACTATTAGTGTAAAAATATTCAATTAACTTTTTCTTTAATAAAGAGAGGGAAAAAAAAAAGAGAAAAGAATCTTACTTGGCACAAATTCTTACATTTTTGAGCAAATATGCTCCTCAGCTTTTTTCCTCCCTCCTACTCAGGTTAAAATAGCAGCCTATTTTGTTCCTCATAACATCCAGATAAGAGATCATAAAATATTCACATATGTCATTTACTTGCTGAAAGCTTAGYGTAGGTGGTCCATGATACCATCCCTTTCCTTAAGGCATCTCATACAGGCTTCCCATCTCTCTGCAGCATCTTCCTCTTCCCTATTTTTTTCCCCAATATCTTTGCCTGCTATAGGTGAAAGGATAAATGTACCTGGAGTTTGAATGTTGGCCAATCTTTCTTGTTCCTCTGCAAGAGGGCATCATCTGAGCAGAGCAGGCCCGGTGCGGTCACACATGGGTTTGCCATGCTAAAATGAAGAATCTGATTGGTAGCAAGCAGAGTAACTTGCTTTTCTTCATCTTTGGATACATATAGTGGTACTGGAAGTTTCATCCAAAGCTGAAGGACTCAGTTTCTCTGAACCTTTTCCTGGTCAGAAACATGCAGTGTTTTTTACTTCTTTCCAAAAACACCTTTCATTTCCATTATACCATCTTTTGGCCCTAAGTGACTGAGTCTTAGACATAGTTTTATCATCTGTTATTACTGTTTTGTACCTCATGAATTTAATAGCAAGAGTAGTTTTTCACTGTATTCAGAGTCAACACTCCTAGGAAAATATGAAAGAGTGGGGGGCTGGTTTTCTGGCTTACTTGGCAGATTGCTAATTAAAACCCATTTTTGCCTCTTGAGCATGGTCTTAACCTTATGCACAAGAAGAATTCCATTGGCCCTGGTGCAGTTGTAGAATTTCTCTTGTTTAAAAATAAAGAACTCRAATCAATGAAGAATTTGAACCAAATTTTCAAAGAGATTATCAAGCCACCACTACATATCCATCTTCAATTAAAACACCAGGTTAATCTTAGCATCAGAAAACATCATTGCACTTTAGCATTGTTTTATAGATTATTAGCAGAAGTAGTGAGAAATCAGGCAGTTTACAGCATGTACCCTTGAATTTCTGTTATTCTGTGCAGAATTAGATCTTACCAAGGGCATTATTTGCTCAGGTAAGACTATACACTTTATTGCTACAATTTATTCATTTATTTTTACAAACACTGTATTATTTTCCAAAACACAGATTCTTAGTATGTTTTTTAAAATTCCTTTTTTTTTTTTTTGCTTATTTGTGCGTCAAGTGAAAGGCAAACTGAGCCATTTGCAACATCAGTTCATTATCCACTGCAATATTTGCCATAGAGCATTTCCAGAGGAAAGTGTTCCCACGGAAGTAAGAAGCTAAACTAATAGGAGCCGAGAGCCTGAGGCACACACCGTTGCTTGGCAGAAACCTGATTCAGGAATCCTGCACTACCAATTTTGTTCATGGGCAAAGTTTCTTAGTTTGCTATTTTAGCTTCTGATTGTTGCTGTAGGACATACATTTTTTTTTTGAATTTTCTAAGTGTGCAGATTCCCTTGTCATAGGGATCATGGTGTGTTTTGAGACTGAGGTATTTTTAGTTTGCAAATTATTGTCCTGGGAGTGAAGAAGGAGAAGGTTTGAATAACGTGCTTACAGAAATTTAACATGGCATTTCTAGACCATAGTTAACAACTGGAGACTCATGAATATAATACCCTTGGGGGCAGGAGGCAGAGTTTTAAAGTATTACAGTCTGTCAGCGTAAAAGACCTAGAATAAAGTTACATGCCCCCTTCCCATCCTTTTTTTTTTTTTTTTTTTTTCTCCTGTAAATTCATAAATCACTCTCAAACTTTCTTCAATCACTTTCTTGGAAAATTAATCATGCAATGTCTTTTTGGACAGGCACAGTGAGAGCAGTAGTTCCTCACTACCTACATTCTTCCCATGTACTTGGTTCTGTTAAAGTGCTGACAAGTTTGCTGACTAAGCTAGCAATCACTGTCTAAAATGATTAATAATCTAAAGAAGGCAGATACTTCAGTTTCGGTGATATAGTCTATACATTTACTTATTCTTGTTTCCTTTCTATCCCCCTTTGGCAGTGCAACCAGGCCATCCCTCCACTCCTTTTGAATGTAGCTTAATAATAAACCCAAACACCTTCCTCTGCTTRATTTCAACAGGAACACATAAGACATTAAGTAGCGTATTCACACTTCAGTCCAGACCCTATATAACACCATGTATAGCCTATTTTTTTAAAAAAGAACAACATACAAAACCATGTAAAAATTCAAATACTGTTTCAATTACTGTCAAATATTATTGAGGACTCAAATATTARAAGGTTGAAAAATAGCATACCCAGCTTAGTCAGAATACCTTGTGCCTCCTAATCTCACTCCTTCTACGCACATTCAAGATGAGGTGAGCTGTAATTTCCTGAAGACTATTATTCCCAAAGAACACTAGTTTTGCTTTCACAGGACTGATAGACAGGTAAGGATTGTTTTAGAAATTACAACAGATACAACATAGAATTTTTTTTCTCTTGCTTTAAGCAACTAACTCGTTGCCTTTAACTTACATTTTCTCTAGGTTTCTCTGAAGTCCTGCCACAAACCAGGCAAATCAGTTAAACCCTTCCACAAGCAGCTGCTCTGCTTTTCTCATTACTGAGGTACCCAGATTAAGCCCATGAGTCCAATTGGCAGTCCTGTTAAAGACACCTCATTGCAAATCAAGCCACCCAAAGATATTTGCAAGTTACTCAATCCTCTGTCCCACAAACTGCTTTGAATGATGGAGTGCAAGGCAACTGCAGTCTGTTATCTCAGCTGGGCGGGTGCACAGAAAGTCTCAGTGACTTTCTGCCTTGATTTCCTTTCTATGTAAGGAGATAAGCCTGCTTTGCCTCCTAGCTCCAGACATACTCTGATGCCAGTGATGAGCTTCCCGTGAACATGATTCATTGCCTTCAGTGCTGGCTCCAAACAGCAGGGCAGGAATTTGGCATCCTAGCTCTAGGTAAGGATATATTAAAAGCCTGACCATACATCTGTGTATTCACACAGTCCTGCTACATTTAATATGGGTATTATACAGGAGCTTTGTACTAGTACTATAGACCTCAAGTGTATGAATTTAATTTTTTTAATATTATAATAAACTCACTCTGCTGCTCTTTTCTTTGGAAGCAGCAATAAATAACTCCAAGGTTCAGCAAGGGTCACTGCTGCAGTATGTACACAATAAAAGTAATTTATTATGGTCCTGTTTCACAGGTGTTTACAAAATTGAATACTCAGCAAGAAAAAAAGCTGTGAGGAGGCAGACCGCTCATCAGAATGACGCACCACGGTAATTAAGTATGATCTGCTGGGAATAGAGGTTCTAGCACAAGGTACTTTCTGTTACAGCAGCTACGCTCCAGAAAAGTTTTTTAAAAAATAGCAATGTTAAATAAAAGATCAGCACATTACAAAAATCTATGCCTGGACTTCAACAATTATTTAATTTCAAAAGTGGGAAGCAGAGCATAYGCTTTTACACAGTAAATATGCATGTGTATAAGCTGATATAATTATTGGTCTTGATTGAAAACATTAACAAATACTAATTCATGATACTTTTCCAGTATATGAATATACAAACATAGTCTTTTGTGGAGTAAATATTTAAGTATGGCCTCACTTTGTAGGACCTTGCTTTTGTACGGTGCTTTCTGGCTTAACACGACACACTAGTTTGATAGCTAAGCACAAGACTGTCATCCTGCTCCTAAAAAAAATACTTACTGCAAGTAATCTGTCAGCATTTCCTACCTCGCTACRTTCTTCAGAGAATTGGCCATTTGTCTGCTGCCCCTTAAGGATTTTCTGCCATCCAAACCACGGTGATTTGCACAAAGGTGCCCTAGCACTTCTAGTTGCACCTCATTGATTCCCCTCCCTGACTGAAATCTATTTGCTGCCGCTACCTACTTTGGCAGTGCAAAAACACCCAGTAGTTCACAAATAAAATGCTTTCTTTATTTTAAAACTTTTATTTTTAAGATGCCCAAAACACTTAAAATTTTCCTAGTTGTTTACATTTCACACAACTCAGTTTTCAAGATCTCCATTAATGAAGTGGTCTTCATTAGAGGGAGATTTTCAAAATGCGTTTGCACGAAATGAAAGGTCCTTACAAAATTCACCATCTCTCACTCTTTTTGTATACAACATCTAGATTTTGTTAGCTAACAGGTATAATTTGAATCCAGTAGAAAAGTTKTGTGTCTGAATTTTAAGAGAATCTCTAAGTTCTAAATTGCCTTTCCGAGAAGCCTCTATTCAATTCATGGACACCAGAGGGCTCCAGAACACTTGCTGATCTAAGACATTTCAGCTTTAAAAATACTTTCCCGGTAGGAAAACAGAGAAGAGGTAAATGGCATGCTCTTTACAGCTACCACTATTTGAAGTCTTGGAAAGAGAGGGGGAAAAAAAACAAACAAACAACAACAACTAACTTGAGTTTTAAAAGATTAAAAACCATAGCACTGTGCAGCTGTACCTGTACTAGTATACCTGTACTAGTAGCCCTATGCTACTATATGTTCATGCTCCAGCCTCAGGTTTCTGTATGGCAGTAGGTATATGATGTTTATGCTTTTTGGTGTTTCCGTGAGTCAGGTAGTGGCATAAAGAGGAGAACAAAGTTGTAGCTCAGGTGGAGCATTTGAGGGATGGTTGCTGCACACATCTCACTGCAAGATCAGAGCTCTATGTTTTTAGAGCAGTCTTTGCCAAAAGCAGGGCCAGACCTGGAGATGCTGTAAATTAGAAGCTGTGTCACCCAAATGTGACCAGYAACACAGCTACAAATTTTGGTGATTTTGAAGTTACTTTTTTGATTTTTTTTCCTGTCAGTCTTAAGCAAGGTCCATTTTAGCCATTTGCTTACAAATTCTAACACCYATTTGGATGCTCTTTGCCTTCCACTCATTTCCTTCTGACCAGTACCTGCCTTCAGGAATGTCCACTTGGCTTTGTCGTAAGTAAAATACCATTAGTTGGACAGCCAGATTTATCAGTATGAAATACATAAGGTTTTGGAAAAATACGAGAGGATTAGTCTGTAGATTTGGATGAACTCAATTGCTCTCTTCAATATGACTCTGGAGTATGTCCTTAGGGTACCTGATTTAGACAATACTTTTATTAAAGGAGATCAGGTTGCCAAGGCACCAAAGGATTTCAAAGGCCATGGCACAAAGAAAAGTTCTGCTTTTTCAAATAAGGGACCTACAAGAGCCAAAAAGACTAGACTCAACTGACTGCATGGGAACTTTTAGTGTGGACATGCTCAGACTGCTCCAAATTTTATAATATAGTCCAAAGCACAGCTACAGGTACACTTTGATGAGCATGAAAAACAGGACCTATCCAGCCTGTCATCCCAGAAGCTGTCAACAGGCCACTGCAGGGATTTCTCTGTGTTTCAAAGAGAATCTGCTTTAATTAAAGTATGACATACATTTTATTTGCCTAATTCACATTATCATGAATTGATGACAAGCAGGATGGCTCTGTACTCAGCAATTCTCCAGCCTGTATTTTTCTCCAGCAGATGCCACTTTGAATGTTCTTCTGCCCTTCCCTTCAGAACAACAGCTCCAAAAAGGGACTCGAGAGATGCAGTTAGATCTACAACACCTATTTTGTACTTGTTTTGCCCACAGCAGTCACCAGGATCGTGAGGACAAGTGCAAGAAAAAAGATGTTCTCTTGACCGAATAGCTGGACATCTGTTAAGAGTACATGGAGCAAATTGTCACAATACTATCAACTATTTTTAAGTCACATTTCCTGTTTTTTAACAGGAAATGAAGCATTCTGGTGATTGCTGCAGCAAATCCATTCAGCATGAGACAACACAACAGTGAAATGATTAAAAGTAATCATAACTATCATGCTCTTCATAAAGCTGAACTAGCAAAGAAAAAGAAAACGGAATGTTACTGGAGTGGGGTTTATTTGTTTGTTTGCTTCTTTGGCTTTTTAGAAATTATTAACTATAGTGAAGAAAGGAACAACTYCCCCAAATTACAGACTCTGCCCTGGACATCCGGCATCCACCATAGAAGAAATTCTGATTTTAATGCGTTTACAGGCTTGGCAAAGGACCATCATTTCCCGTTGTCTTCTTACAAGCAGAGCCAGAACTGAAATTACTTTCTTTTCTGGAATCAAGTGCTTAGAACTTCAGGAATGTACTCCCTCCTGAAATAAAATAATAGTTCTGGTCTGTGGATCCTAGAATAAACCTTTCCAAAAAGCAAATACTATTTCCTTACATATATTTGTAAAAAAAAATGACTGATGCAACCCAGCTTTTTTTTTCTTTTTCTTTTTTTAAAAGATCTAATGGCTAGAAACTAACCCAAGATGCAGGAGCTTTATCCTCATTCAGATTAAAACATCTATTTCCCCTGAATGTGTAATACCTATATGCAGTGAAAGCAGTTCTGAAGTAGGAATTAAAAATATACCCTTTGTCTCCTTCAGAAGTTTTGCTGGTAGCAAGTAAATGACTTAAGACTCCCTGGGATAGAGTCCTCTCAAGGATGGCATAGTCATTTTTTAAATTGAAAAGACAAGAAAAGTAAATTCAGGTGACTCCCTTGCAAACACCCAATTCTCCTCCTAGTGAAACCAATGAAGCTTTTGTTACTGGTGACAACAGAAACAGGCGTGGGTCCAAAGCTTACTGACCAGATGTAAGCMTGGAAAGCTTTGGCACAGAGGTGCTTTATATTTCAAGTAAAGATGCAAAGAATAAAGCTATTGGAGATATGTCTGAGGTTGTTCAGTCCCTTCACCATGTTATAAAAAAAAAATAAAAATTGGAGAGCTCCTTCTACTTAACCAGTCTCTCACCAAAGCCAAATTCTGAGTAAAGAAGTTTGAACTTCAAACAAAGGAAGAGCTATTTATGTCTTTATTAGAGCCTGAAATGGAAGACATCAGCAAGAATATAAGGCTTCTAAAGATGATGAACACATTCTTCCATTCTCCACTCCCACCCCCTGCAATAAAAAGAGGACAGTAGAAAAAAATTGTCCATGTAAAAAAGGTGCTGTATAGTTTATTTAAAATAAGTACTCACACAGAAAGACATCAATAACATGGAGAATTCAGGTTCTTTCTCCAAGTTACTTTTCCCTCACAAAAAGTAATGTAAGCTGAAGATTAGACTTGCTATTTGGCAATGTAAACTTTGAAAAAAAGATTAAATATTGTTATTAAACAGTATTTTGTTATGTTTTGATTACTGGCTTAGCTCATTGCCACATGAAAACCTTAGCATACAGCTATAAAGCTGAACTCAGACCATGTTTCAACATACTTTCTGCATTAAAAAAAAACCAAATCAAGTCCACCCTTATAAAACAGCTGAACTGTCCTTAGGTATGTTAAGGTTTCAATTATAAAAAAAATGATTTTTTTTTGCCTTCTTCTGTGCCAGCTTTTTATTTCATT